CCAGCCAGCCATGGCTTGGTGGGGGATTCTGGGGGTTGGAGTCCGCGCATCTTCAAGCTGCCGACGTTGAGAAACACTGTGGTTGATAGGGTTTTTCTGCAGAATCTGAAAAATACCTTAAAAGGGAAAATCTTCCACGCTCTGCTTCTCCAATCCCTATAGTGCCAGAGGAAAAGTTGCATCCCAGAAAACCCAACGTTCTTCTTAAAGGGAGAAGCACAACCCCGGGATCTGCATTTGGCAACCTGCGTTTTCCCAGAGCGGCTCTGAAAGCTGCCCAGTGATTCTGGACGCCTTGCCGATTCCCACGGGGCTTCCATTTCAGATTCCGAAAAGGCCGGACTGCAGATCTGAATCTGTTCTCGCCCACCAAACTGGTGTCTTGTGTTTAAACCGATTTCGTCCAGCTGGCTTTGTGTTGGATTTTTTTGGGGGGGGGATAAACAACGGGATTGAGGGGGCAGAAGAGTTTCTGCCCATTTGAGGAGGTGGAGGAGAAGCATCTTTTTTGGAACCTGATTTTTTAAAACAAGGGAGCTGGGTTAAACCCACTGATCTGCAGCTTGCAGGTTGGAGAGGTGTGTTTTCTCACAAACCGGGGTTGGTTCATTTCTGGGAGGCCCCCCTGCAATCTGGCCGGCGTTGGCAGAAGCGGCTCGTTTCTGGCCCCAGGTCCTGGGAAAGGTCATTGGGCCTGGATCACCTCTGCCCTTTGGGGCTTTTGGGGGGAATGCTTTCCCCCTCTTCTCAAGGCAATACCAGCCAAGTGTGGGGGCTGTTCTGGAGAACTCAAGAGCCTGCTTTGGGTTGGTGCTCCTTCCTCCGTGGCCCATAGCTTCGACACGCCACCCATCCGTTGGTTTGGAAATCTGTGGGATATCTGGGGATAAGCCAGCTGCAAAGTTTGTCCTTCGGAACTGGGCCTTCATAGGTTCTGAGCAGCACAAGGTGGCTGCCCGCCCATTAGATGCCCCACAATGCCCTGACGAAGCACCGCTCTGGGGCGTTGTGGGAAATTCTGACGGGAGCTCAACCCTGCCTTCTGGAGCACCGCCTCAACCAACAGGAAAGCCGAGGAGCGTCTGCCACGTGCTCGAGAAAGTTTTGGTTGGATCGGTGGGCTGGGCTAACGCAACCAACGTGGTTAGCCTGTGTTTCAGAGAGTTGTGCAAACCCTAGATAACCGGGTTAATGGAGCAAACTGGTTCAGTCGGTCAAAGAGCAGCAAGCCAGCGGAGCCGCAGGGCTTGTAGAGTTCAGAACATGCCCCCGGAGCTGCAGGTTGTGTGGAACAAGCCACGTGGGTTCCTGGAGAAGAACAAAGTGCTCCTTCTTCCTGGTCAGGTTTCAGCTGTCCCCTCTCTCTCAACCTAGTGGCCTCCAACCGTGATGCTCAACGTCCCCCATCCTTCTCCAGCTGAGCTTTTGGCAGGCATGGACCTTGTAGTCGTAGACCGCTGAAGAGTCCCACGTGGCCTGAACTCATATGCTTATCCTCCTTCCCACGCTTTGGCTGTGGATGAGGGTCTGTGGCAAGGACACCGGCTTGCAGAAGGGCTGCTTTGGGGGACCTGAACAGACTGGGCTGAGAAGCCGACTGATCCGCCCGTGGTGGACCTGGCTGTGCCTGGGAGTTTCCAGCCCGAGGAGGGCAAGGCAGGACGGTCTTCCCTCCAGCCTCCCCGGGGCCAGCCGTCAGAGCTGCATGACCCACCCCTCCCAAGGGGAAAGGGGAGGGCAGGGAAGAGAAACGAGATCAGGAGGC